TTCACACATCTTCCTTGAAACCAAAGAGCCTTTTTCAAACACTGATCAACCATTGCCATTGCATCTTCTCTGGTCTCCATCTCAATAAAAGCCTGATAAAACAGAAAAACTTTTAAAAAAAGCACTTCTAAAATTTCAATGCTTATTACTTCTTCCCACATTAAGACCATCTAATCTTTCGTAGAGTGAACTATAATAAAATTAAATCAATGTATAAAACCACCATGAATCTCTGTACAGCACAAGTATTATTGGTATTTTTTATAAAAAAAAAGTAAATGCTTAGGATACATAAGAGTGTTCATCTGGAAAAATCCATAAATTATTTAACAGGCTCTACAAACTAAAAATGAAGAAGTAGGAAATAATCATATTCTTTAGATTTTGTAGGAATTGGATTGTGTAAAGTATTCCTAGAGAATACCACTGGGAATATAAATTGGTACATATTTTTAATTACTGGTAGTATCAAAGAAATATCCAAATCTGAAATTTAGACTTGATATCTTAGTTCTGCATGGAACTCTGCAACTACACTAAGTGCATAGCTATACAAATAGTAAAACCAAAATGCTCTATCAATCTAGGAAATTTTAATCTGTTTATTATAAAATTATGGAAAAAAGAGAAAGGGGGGGGGAGAAACAAGAAACTAAAGTGTTAAGTTTGTGCCAGAAAAAAAGACCTTTACTTTCCATTTCATACTCTTCCAGTATTTACTGGGTGGCTTTTTTTTAAACCACTCACTTTTTTTAACAAAAATTTCTCCATTCATCACACTATGACTAATTTTGATATTTCATTGAGGTAAAGGCCATTTAGTAAAACCTCTTTAAAACTTGTCATAACGGAGTGTTATTTTATTACCTGGCTTTTCATCCGCATCAATATGTAATTCTTTATTTTCCCGTAGGGTTCAGCAAGTTTAAGAACAGAGCTGTCTGAATAACCAGAATGTGGTAAATTGCTGAGATGAATCACACGTCCAAGTTCTTGTTTTTGATCAAACTTCTGATCTGGCTTTCCTTCAGGTTTCTTTATTAAGAAGAAAAAAACACACACACAAATACCAAGTTAAATGTCACAAGATATAACTGCAATTCAGCTTTAAAAGTATCTTAAAAAATTAATATCATAAAATGTTTATGAATGGAAAAAATCAATTTGCATTTTAAACTTTTACTTCAAATTACAATTTTTTAAAAAATCCTAGTTTCTAGCAATAATAACTTCAAAGGTCAAGTAAATATTTTAAATGGTTAATTAAAAACGTAAAAATGTAGAATTTTACCTTTATTCTTTTATACTTCTGTGATAAATGAACTCTCACTGGCTTGCCGAATACTAATGCTGGTGTGGTTGTGTAATATTCCACAGCAGCCTGAGCATCTTCTGTGGTTGCCATTTCTATAAATGCCTGAAAAGAGAATTTTAAATGTAAAACCATTGAACAATTTCTTTTAGACATTATATTTAATAATTACAAAATATTTTTAAGAATTTATCATCATCAAGATGAACTTCAGAGTCTTTTAGTCATGTTTTTTAAATATTTTATTATTTTTGTGTGTGTACCATCAAATCAGATCTGACTGGTACCAGAGGAGATTGCCCCTCCTTCTCCAGCAGAGCATCTCGTGAATTCCAACCATGTACCTCTGCGATTACAGTGCAGCTTCTTGTCACTAGATCACCAGAGCTCTCTTAAAGTGTTTGATTCCATGGAATTTGGTGTTTTTACAATCACCATCTAAAACATTTTATCATTATGCTCCATTTTTTTTTTCAAGTCTCTGCCAACACTTATATGATTTCTATCTCCATTTACTTATTCTGAATATTTCATAAAAATGAACTCATACTAGAAATAAAATTCTGTTTACTCTTTATTAAAAATCCACCTTATTGCTACTATGTGAGAGAAAGATGGGTCAGTTGTAGAACACAAGAACAATCATATGATTGTGAAGATAGTGTAGGATGAGGTAGTTTCAATCAGTTGTGCCTTATTGTCCCTAAGAGTCAAAATCTACTTCACGGCACCAAACTAGTGAATGGGTAATAATAATTTAAAATTCTTTAGGTAGAAGTCTGAAATGGCTTTCCAAAGAGGTTTCCCTAAAATCCTTATACAAATAATGAGTGCTATTGTGGTTTAACACTGTTAACCTAATGGCTAGCAATTAGAATCTATCGGCCACTCCATGAAGAAAGACTGCAGCCTTAGAAACGTGGTGTAGTTATGAGCAGAAACAGACTTGATGGTAGTGAATTTAGTTAAGGTTAGACAAATTCAACCATCCTAAGTAGCAGAATAGTAATTTTTGCTTGAAAATTAAAATTTATTACATTACTCATAATCTGTTATTGAGTGCACAGCACACACTATCATGTTTGCCTCCAACTCATGATAACCCCATTCACAATAGGGACTGAAACAACTGATTCTGTCCCATACCATTACTGGATATTTATAGTCCAATTTGAACCAGTCTCGTGATTTGATTTTCAGACTGTAACTTAAACACATGTCTCAATTTTCCCCCAATATATTTTAGTCTATAAATGTAATATAAGTAATTCCACATCACAGTAACAAGCCTCCACCAAGTGGTAGTTATGAATGAAATACATTGGTCAGAAATGGAATCCAGGTTTTTAGGACTAATTATAATAGTTTCATGACTTAATTGCCATTATTTCACTCTTAATACAATAGTACTATAAAAATCTGTTATATTCTGCAGTGATGATCTAAATTTAACATTGAGAAGAACTGTGCTTATTTCAATCCATACCTCATTAATTTTATTTAGAATCAGGTGATTTGAAATGACGCCAAATGGTTCCACCAGTTGTAAGAGTTGGTATCTCAAGTTTTTCCCTCGCTGAAAGTCCATGATGTGAACAACTCGACTAGTTTCCTATGAGCAAACAAAAGTAATTTCTTCAAAAGCACTATGAAACAGGTTCTACTTTAGAATTTTAGATAGCAAACTAAATTTAGAACAATTCTATAGAGAATTTTATAAGTATACACTAGGGGGGAAAATTATATATTGGCATAAATTTCAGGCTACGACCAAGAAGTGACACTATCAGTCTGAAACTTATTATATTGGTAAACTCTTATCAATGTTATAATAAAAACCCTAGGCTTTAAAACAATTACATTTTCTCATAATAAAAATTGTGAAACAGTTTCAAGCACTATAAGTCAAATCACAGTTCCCTAACAAGACCGTAAAATTCATGGACAGTCTTACTTACCACTCTGCCTTTTTGCATGTGTCTTGAACCTTGTAGGTTTCCATTTCCAGCACCTTCATGGGGACAGGAGAAAATATTACTTTTAGTCTCAAAAATAAATATGATGATGTAATTAATGGGCTGTTTTCATTGGGGGAAAAGGGATGTGGGAGATTATGATATTACAGGTTATCATTACTCCTGCCAGGTCTTGTCATGCAATGCTTTATGTGAACATTTTAGTATTATCTTGCCTCCAATTACAGTATTTCATGCTTAGGGCATAAACTCTTAAGGAAAAGTAATATGCATTTATATAATCACCAAGATTTCCTCTTGGTCCAACAGCTGGTCCTCCAAGATGAAATGAGGGAGGTGGGGGTCCCAGAATTCCAGGTGCTGGGTTTGTAGATTGCTGCAGCATAAATGGATCACCCCTAGAAATATGAAGATATAAAATTATAACATCAATCAGAAATTAAGACGTATTGTTAAAATATGCTATGGCCACTTCACCTTGAAAGCATTTATCTATGTGAAATAGATGAAACAAAGCTAACAGCAATCAAAGAGTAACTATCAATATGAAATTTTTTAAAAAAAATTCAACTACAGATACTAATTTTAAAATGTCTAGGGTTTTTGGTGTTGTGGTTTTTTTGAAATGTAATGCTAAAAGTTAAACTTGAAGTCTTTATACGATCACCTCTAAAAATAGTTTAAAAAGATTTAACTTACATTGTGTGTCCTGTATCATTGTCAGGATTCCATTCTGGGTAGCTTTAAAAAGATCAAAAAATTACATTTAAGATTAAGTTATCTCTTTCACAAAGTAGCCTCACTTGGTCTCTAGAGATTAGTAAAGTTATCTGAGGGCCTAAATGTTAGAAATATTACAGTTTTATAGCACGTCTCAATAAGCTTTCCAAAATTAAGAATAATTTCAGAAGTTCAAACTAATAAAAAAATGAGAATGTGATGAAAACTTAAGTACTATTGTGTTAAAATTAATTTTTCCCTGTGTTAGGTCAGAAGCAATAAATCTTACCAGAGGAACTGGAAATGTGAGTGATAAAGGGAAACGAGAACAGAACACAAAAGAGTCCTTCTCTCGTATTAAATATTAGGAACAGAGCTAAGCTGTGGCACTAGAACAAAGTATGTAGAAACTGCCACTCCAGTCAGTAATAGACACTGTGTGTTGCTGTGGCAAGGAGTTTCTTTTGGAAGTCGGTTTCATGATAGCTGCTTAAACTCAAAACCAAAGGGGGGGAATACCCCATAAGCTAAAGATACACCCTAATTAAGTTGTCTTGACAACCAATTTTTATTACCTTTCCCTTATTTTTTTTAAAGTATCAATTAAAGTACTATTAAAGAGAATTTATTCTAGGTCTCAAAGGCTAACTTTTTAAGTCTATTAAAACACCAGTGTTTTAAACTATTCACCCTAGAAAGAATATTAAATAAGACATTACTAAATTAGTATCACTTCATCCGATATTCAATTTGAATTCCAAATCTTTTATCTGTAATTAGTATTATTGTCAGGACAGTGCAGTAATATTATGCAATAGTAATATTCTGGATATTACAAATATAAATGACAAACTCCCAGATATCAACCAATGGCTGTTTCTGATTCACGATAAGGATGCTTTAAAGGTATTTCAAGCTCCTACATTTCAAGAAGCAGCTGGCATCGACGACTGTGACTTGCTCCATTGATATGTTGACTCCACTCCTGCAGCAAAGTAAATTAGTAGAATTAACAAAAATAAAGCTAAAATATTTTCAGTTGAGCCATTCAAACCATAGGAGTTAATCTTTATGCAGTATCAAAGGTTTTACAAACACCTGGCCATTCATTAAATCAAATTGATTTAATTTAAAAGAATCTCTCTAAATCCTGGCAGCTTGATCCTGCCCTCAAATATGCTATGCACATTCTTGGAAAAACTGGATTATTTGGTTAGTAAATTTAGAGATCTGACAAGAGAAAGAAGAATAAAAAAGATCAAGAATAGCTGTGGACACCCTGAGATCAGGCAAGGCAAATTAATTTCTGCTATGGACTAAACTGAAGGATACATGCTGCATTAGAAGTCTAAGACATTAAATATGATTTAAATAACCCATGTTTATTTAGAGTATCCTAGAATATTGTGTGCTGTAAATGTGAATACAATTATTTTACAATACAATCTTTCATTTCATCAAGCCCATGAAGAATGTATCCCCCCAAAATGCCATGATTTGTGCTAAACAAATTTAAAGTGATTCAACAATACCAACTTTTCTAGAGATTGGTCATAATTTATAAAAACTACATTTTCTTTTATCTCCCAAAATCAAAGTAGCAGATTTAAGGATGCCTATTTAAAAACTTTAAAAGGGTAACATCTATTATCGTCAATGTTTACCTCTTATATTTACTTTAAGGAAAGTTTACTTCCCCCCTATTTTATCCAAGTGTTCGGATTTTTTAAAAAGGGGAGAAAATTTCCCAAAAACTCTATGAGGTTTTAAAATGTGAAGAAAGAAGAGTTAGGAAAGTGAACTCTAGTATAGATCTACCTGGCTTTCATTCCCAAATGTGTCCCCAAGGTACAAGTCCTTGGCAAGAGTTACTTAAATTCACTGGGACTTGTTCTAAGTCAGTTAATTACTATAAAAAACTTATCAAACTATTGTCAAGATGTGCTCAAAAGAGGTAAACCTTCAATAAGACTGCTTGTGAGAGTCATCTCATAAAATGTCTGTTCATAATTATTAGTCTTTGAAAATTCCTAACATTAGACAAGTCCTGAAGTTAAAATTCTAAATTTCTCTTCATTTTGTCTACTATTATTTAGTAAGGCCTAAGAATTACAGAAAAGTAACAAAAGTATTCTAATAAGCATCCTCTTTAATTCACAGGAGATAGAAAGGGTATATAGTTTAATCAGAATTACTTATACCCAATCCCAATTGTTCTTTAAAAGTTGAAATTTCTACTGATAGAGTGGGGCCTTCTTTCAAACTGACAAAAAGTCAAGATCAGAAAATGAGATATGCACCTCCCATACCCAGGCCTTACTAATTTGCTATCTTGGCAACACTACCTAATCTTACTCAGCCTAAACTGAGGACTTAAGAGTCAAGAGAATTTAAAACCAAACCAAACCCCTTTCTCCTTGGATTCACGTTGACTTACATCAGATTGATAAACAAAATTCCCTTTTAAACTCGGTCTCTGTAGAACAGTGTTTTTGAGAAGGCAAAGATAAAATAATATGGAGAATAATTTCTGGTATGGAGGAATCAAGAATAACTTAAGGGCTTGCAATGTTAAGAGGGGGAAAAGAAGTAGAATTCAACTGACAAGATAGTGAGAGGCTGGTAATGGGCAGTTTTACTAAGTGAAAGGAATGTGAGTTGGGTAGAAAAGCACCAAAGTTCTAAAATGACCTAGGAAGAAATAAAACCTAGCAGCATTGCTGAAAGTCACTTAAAAATGTCAAATTACATGTTTTCAATATAAAATTCCTTTTCGCTTAGAAAAAAGAACTTCTGATCATGTGGGCTTTAAAGTCACTAAGTGAAAAGAACAGATTTTCCAAGTTATGCAGCAATACCAGAGAGCAGGATTAAACATTTAAAATTTTCACTGTCTACTTCCACCACAGGGATTTCCACTAAAGTCAGTGGTTGTTTATCAACTATAAAATGATGAGTAAAGAATTTACTGATAATGCAGATACAAAGAAATCAGCTGTGTTAAGAAAAGTGAAAAATATTAAAAGATAATCCAGGTGTTTAAGCCTTCTTAAAACTGGCTAAATTTAGAAAGATAATAAATTTTGCAAATGTAACACAAAAGTCCTCTAAATAGTTCTTAAACACACTCAGTATTCTGACAAAGAGAATGAACTCTTGAGGGCTAATCATCTGTGAAGGGTAAAAGTACATTTAAGTTAAAGCATCTTTTGAATCTAGAAGTTTCAAGCACTTAAAACCTGCTCATTTAGATACATTTTAGCAAAATTTAGAGAAGAAAAACTTTTCTCTGATGAACATTCTTGTGGTTGGTTCTTTTTAAAGTTCTTTTACTATGCTTTTCTATGTGCAAGGAGGAATGTTAAATTACTATGCAAAGTCCAGAAGTAATAAAGAACTTAAAGAACATTTGTCATAATTAATGCTATAGTTGTATTTTTAAAAAATCAACTAGCAAAAGGTAATACAGGGGGGAGGGAAGAATCATACATTAAAGGAATTTTTTCCTATCAATTCAAACCAACCTACAACTTGGTTGAGTATGCACAAAGACTGTCTCATGATAAGTTTATCTAACAAATATGAAAGAAGGTAGGGGTCAGAAACACCTACCAAATAAAGTAGGCTAACTTTGGAGTTTGAGTCAGTCAAGATAAATCTAATTTAGCACTTTTTCTAATTCTTTTTTCTGGTGTGAACTAAAGATTTGTGCAATTAAAGTGATCTTACAAGCTAATTTGAAAGAATTTTATAGCAAAGACTTTTAAGCTAAAAAATTTAAAAGACATTTTCAAAGTACCCTGTATATTCAAATAAGAGAAGTCTTTTTCACTTAATTATCTGAGAACAAAATTAAGATCCAAATAAAGAAAAGAATGAATGGGAATACATTTTAAATATCTTATAAACATGACTAGGCAAAGGAATAGATAATGAAAAGAAAATGACTATTCCAGATATTACTGTAAAGAAAAGGACTATAAAAACATCAATCATCAAATCAATTTCAGGGTAGCAACATGTACCAGTTATGCTGAATGACTATATTTATTGCACATCAGGAAAAATGGATGGTCACAGATCAAGCCACTGGAGTGCTTTAAAGTTGACCTTTAAGTCAACTGCATGGTATATTTTAATCCGTGAGAATGAGTAACACTGAAAAAGTGGAAAGAGAAAGGACAACACATATTCAAAATGGCATTTTGAAAGTTCCCCATTTTGCCAGAGGTGATATTAATTATAGCAAAGAAAAATTAATAGATTTTTTTTTGTTCAAATAACCTTACCAGAATCTTAAGCCTTAATTAGAAAAAGAATATGCTTATGAGGAACACAGAGCAGGCTATGCCAGAGTTGATTTTTCCAAGTCTCTAATGGGATAGATGCAATATGGGATAATAAAAAGTGAATTCTGAAGTATGTTTAAGAAAGTTGTGGAAAAGGAGGGAAAAAAAAGGATGAACATTTTCAGTGACACTATGAGTTTGTGTTAAAGGGAAACTAAAAAGGAAGAATGAACTAATCTAAAATGTAAAACACATTGAAACACCAGGGCTCTACATTAACTGTTCCCTGTAGCCACAGATAAAGGAAAAAAAGAACAGTTCAAGATTACATCTTTACTACATACAAATCAGCAATCAAGACAGATGGAGAGCTAAAATCTAGCATCCTGTATGCCAGAGCACATGGACTGCAAAGTAAAAAAAAAAAAAAAAATCTTAAAAAAATTATTTGATTCAGCAAAGCAGACAAAAAAAGTAAATTAAAACCAAAAAACCAAACCTGCTTAAATATATGGTTAAGAAGAACATATGGATGCCAAAAACTAACAAGATAATTCCAGTGGATGACAGTTTTGTGGCCAGAAGTAATCTAGGCAGACTGTATTAATGTAAAGCCCTGGTTTAAAATGCCAAAAACAATTACCTTCCAAATAATGTATTCTCAAAAGTATAAAAATTCTTGATCAACGAGTTAAAAGATATAGGTAAAAACAGAAAAGGCACTAAAATGTAAAAGAAATTAGAAGTATCTGTTGCATTAACTCACCTTATTAGAATGAACTGGCAAATCACATATAGAGCACAGATGGGGATAACCCTTCGGTAAGAGTCCATGGAAGTCTTCAATATTGCTACTTGGAGGAGCTCCTCTCTTTTTCTCAAAGAGAGATCTCTCTTGTAAGGGACCAGGACCACGTCCCATTCTCTCATACTCACTGTCAAATTTATGATAATTATGCGAGGTCTCACCAAAAAAAGAATCATCCCTACACCTTTCTCCATCTCTTAATCTGTCATCTTCATAATCCATTCTGTCATAATAACCAGATTCTTGAGAACGACTTCCATGGTCATAATCAAGCACTGGGTTGAGACTAGGACCACGATCATCAAAACTATCTCTTCTAAAGTGCCTTTTTTCTTCCCAATCATCCCTAGGTACTCTGTATGGTGGATCCCGTGTAGCAGATCTGCCATCTCTACCATAACTCAATGAAGAGCCTTCTTCCGTTCTCCTCCTTTTAAGCTGCAGAAGAATTTGGGGCAAATTCTCAGGAGTAATCTTGTCCTCTGGATAACGACTCAGTTCATCTAAGTCTCTAGCAGACAGACCAAAGCTGGCCAAAATGTTACTGGCCTGGTCTGCATCTCCACGGTGTTGAGAAGACAAAGGGAGTGGACCTCTACTTCCAATGTTAAATATAGACTGCAAATTATGGGAAGAAGTACTAGCAGAAGACAGTACACTATGAGCTCCTTGTTGATTCAATGAAGAACTCATTCCAAGATTCATTAAACTAGCAAGGCGTGCAGTACCCTGGTTCATCCTTCCAAGAGATGCTGGCATACTTAAAGACTGGGTAGCAGCAGCAAGAAGGCCTATTTCTGCTGCAGACAGGTCACGCCCATGACCCTGCGAATCCCTACCGAGAGATGACTGCTGGAATGACTTGGACATTGTAGAACTATCTCTTGTCTACTTTATAGATTGGAAAAAAAAATTTAAGATGGCCAAAAAGAAAGCTCACACTAGAAAGCTAGGTTAATTTTGCTTCAAAAAATGGTAACGCTAAGAAAAAGGATCAATAAGGACTGTAGAATCTTCTTCAAGCTGAGAACCAGCAGACCAACTCTGTAGAAAAATAAGCAATTTTAGTCATAAATCCCTTTAAGTAGATGCTGTTTTTTTTTTAAAGAAAAAAAACTTATGCATCATGTTGATTTAAAAAATAAACCATTTAAGATCTCAAATTTATAAGGAATTTATTACACATCTTTAACAGACTCCAGATGTATGCAGAGCCTGCATATAGATATTTTAAAAGTAGTCTTTTAGTAACTAAAGATTAATTATTAAAGAGAATTTCATACTAAACTTAAAAACAGATGTTTCGGTAAACAAAAATTTCATTAAAAATACTGATGAGTATTTTCTTTTAGAAGAATAAAATATACCCTTACTATGATGCTTAAGTTCCACAAGACTAAAAATTAATCTAGGTCAGCAAGTCAAAGATGAATCAGTTGTACTGTACTTTGGGAAATGAGACCTATTATCACTATTAGAAAGAACCTAGTAAAATCACAAGTAAATGACACTTAAATGTCAAGTACCTACTGTAAGATTTAAGACCAAATAAAATAGCTGAGACCTTTATGCAGCAAACAAATTTGAGGTGAAGACAGATGTAAGGAAAATAAGCAACTTTCTACAATTTAAGAATATCTACCCATATTCAAATCACTTACTGGTCTCTAACTGCCCCATCCCACACACTAGATAATGCTTATTTCATATGCAATCTTATAAGGCAAGGAGAATAGTATCAGAATAAGAAATTTCCCAAGAAAAACTCAGGTTTAGGAATCACTGATAATTTAAAGAAGTAGTACTTCCCCCAAGTTGGTACCCATCAATGCTCATTTAAATGTTCAAGGTTATAGCAACTCTGGAGCATATAAACAGACAAAAATGAAAATGAGATCACTCTACAAAGATTTCTATTTCCACAAGAAAATTTTTCGGTCCATCTAGAAAATGAAATTCTGAACGTGATCTACAAGAAGTCTTTCTAGATGAATTTTTTAAGTTATTTTATCTAGTAGCTTGTCTCAATTATATTAGTATTTACAAAGCACATAAAATGTTAGCCAAAAGATGTACATTAACAAACATCCTAAGTAAAAACAATTTTAGAACCACCACTATAGAGAGCTCTAAAAGTTACATCTGCATAGATATTTATAAAAAAAGCATTGCTCAGATAAATTCTTACCACTCCTACATCTGTCATTAAACTTTATAGCAAACTATCAGTCACTATTTCATAAGTACAAGTTTATTATGAGATCACTCAATGATAGATTAAAGCAAGGATACACTAGACAAATACTGTCAGAAAGTTAAAAAAATTAGAAAGATTAGACTTTTAAAAAAGATGTAGTAAGTTAAAAAGACATAGAAATACTATCAGGTGGCCAGAGTTAGAGAATGTTTTTGCATACTAAGAAAGATGAACTTGAGAAGACATCGAAGAAACTAGTGCTAGATGTATAGTGCTAGATCCACTATGTATACCATTAAAAAATTAAAATAAGATGATAAAGGATGAAAATTAACTGTATTTCTTTGGATGCAGTTTTGAAATTACATAAATATCATATAGAACGGCAGCTGAATTAACTGTGTTAACAGGAAGATCCTCTATATTTTTATGTACTAAAAAAAACCCTTGGGGGTTTTAAAAATAAAAATACAAAATATCAAAAGTTACTGTTATAATTTCAAAGTTATTATAGATTAAGTCTGCATTTATTTAAACTCTAGTTTATTAGGAGAACTATTTCCCTCCAAGGGAAACTTTATTAATAGTATGATGATCACGTATAAAATGACTGTTAAATATTAAGAGATTTCATTATTTTCTGTAGCTTATGTAAAACAGTGGATCTATAAAAGGAAGGTTAAGAAAAGTCAAGATAAATGATAACCTTAAAACAAAACAGAAAATGATGTCAGAAAAAAACCGGCAACACAAATAATGTAAATCCCCTGGCAATTTTTAATTTCGTTAAGATCCTTAATAATTTTAAGAATGAGTTTCATTAATACAGCCATACAACTTAGTAACTGCTGTAGAACCTTTGATCAAAACAACCAAAGCAAATCCTCCTTTTGATTAGAAAACAGAGAATTCAGACATGACAGCACCACTGAAAAGTAACTGTACAATAGATGCCATTTTTAAAGGCACATTTAAATCTGCTACCTATTAAATAAACAGGCAATTATTAAATGGCCGAAGATTAGCTTCTTTTAGTTATTAAAAATCGTGACAATGCCTTCATATATTAAATTGAAAACATTATAAAAATCCAATTTACTATTCCAAATTACACATCACCTTTAACTTCCAGGGAAAGCAATCTACCCCAAATCAAATACTTGGGGGGGGAAGCAGGGAGAAAAGTGCAACAATGAATGACTGGAAACCCTAAGTCCCTGTAAACTTTCATTCAAATTAATAAAAATAATAAAAATTATCAGGGAGCTCGGTGGCCTAGTGGCAAGGAGCTGAGCCGCAATTTCGAAGATGCGTGATTCCAATCAACCTGATACTTGGCGGGAGGAGGGCAATCTCCTCCTGTGCCAGTCCAGTGAGATCCAACTCAAAAGCACACAAGAAAAAAACCCCAACAAACAAAAAAACTAGCAACAATATATTCCTAATTCACAAATGCGTTTCCCACAATTTGATGTCTCAATTATAACTTAAGGTCTCAAATCTCAGGTATAGAAGTAACAGCAAGGAAAAACTGTCAGTTTCCTGTTCAACAGGTGTGCAAATATTGTCCTTAAGTATTACTAGAATGTAAATTCCTAAGAACTATTTATTTTACCCTTTAGATTTCTTTTCTTCCCCAATTCAAAGCAGTGGAGTATTAAAATATTTCTAAATATGGTGTTAACATACTAAAGAAATGAATGGTGTTCCTTATCTAGATTTCCTCATGTGTAAGAGTACCTAATTAGAAATTTTCTCCAGAGGCTTATTCTTGCTTTAGTAATCCTTCTAAATAAGATGGCTGTAGTTCCATAAAATACAGGAAAGGAAAAAATAAACAACTTTTAAAGCCTAACTATCAAGTAAAAAACCGCTGTTGCAACTTGGGGAGAAAAATACTTAAAAATCTCTTAACTCCCCTTCTAAATTACAAACACACAAAAATGCGGGAGTAAATAAAATGTTTCAGATTTCCCAAAGGCTCTATCAATATTTAATGGTAAAAAATTTATCAGATTTATTTAGAATAGAAACCAATAAAATGCAGTTTTACACATTAAAATTATACACACTCATACTCAATGATGGTAGGAATAGCCTACTATCAGTTATTTCAAGGAATCATTATTTGGAATGGTAAATTTTTTACATTAATCATACTGCATAGTTAGGATTCCCATTGCTGGAACTTTTTTTTAAACCAAGCACTCCTGTAGTTTAAGTACAGGGTTAGGTTACTCTTCAACTTTAAATTCTTATTTTTCCTTTCCTAGATCCATTTAATTTCCATATATTAATTTTAAGGGACTCCAGTGGTAAGGAGTTACACTGACAACCCAAAGTTAGGCAACCAACTACTCTGGAAGAAAGAGGAACAATTTCCTCTCATACTATCTATTTACAGCCTCTGAAAACTCACTAGAGGGTCAGCTGTGAGTCACCACTGACTGGACAGCAAATAACTTTAAACTGTCAAGCAACCCTACAAATAACACTCAAAACTTTCTATCTTGCACCCATAACTCACAATCTGACATGCTCAAGTCTACTGTTACTGCCACTCCATCCTAAGAGTCTTCCTCTTGTCCTCTGACCCTCCACCTTTCCCAGAATACAGCTGTATAGTAAAACGTACTGCAAAACATGTAGAACAGTGTCTGGCACCTAATAAACCCCCTACTCATGATCTATTTTTTTACCTAATGTGATCCTCAAAATACTAACAAAATTTCTTCATTGTTAGATGAAAAAAAGACTGACCCCAGAACACATGAGTGAAGACCTTAGTCAGAACCTGTGAAAAGGCTGATTATTCCTGGTAGAAGAAAACCTCCAGGATTATCTCCTAGGAGTTGAAGAACCGTTAAGATTGCTTCCTGTCAAAGGCAGAAAAGTTCAGAGACTATGAAAAGCAATGATTTCTGTGCAGTTCCAGTTCTGCCAAGTTTCACTGTACTTGCTATTTCATTTAACAACTTTGTCTTAGAAGTTTTCACTTAAGGTTGACATTAAAAAATTAAACAAGTAGTAACTTTAATAAGAAAGACTGAAAAAAGCTGGTTTTTGGTAAAAGTAGACAGAACTTTCTTATTGCCAATCTATTTTATCTTCTTGTCCTTTAAAGCATCCCTTACGCAAGTCTTTGTAGCTTTCAGCCAGTGTCCTTGCACCTCAGACTGTCACTTTGCAATATCAAGTTCTGAAGCATCACTCACTCCACTGTCCTGCAAAAACCCTCCTCTAACAACTCCTTACCACTTATTACCACACAAAGTCCTTAAAATGGTTTACTTACACTTTTTATGCAGTGTTAATCTTGTTTCTCTAAACCTATCCCTCGCCACATTAAAATGTGAAAGGTTGGCTTGTTATTCCGTAGAATGTACCCTTCCTTTACTTTCCTAAAAGGTAATGAATGGCACTATTAATGCTCTTTAAGGAGTTCTGGTGGCCTGTAGGGAGTGGTCCTGTTTAACCTAAAAATTAGAATCCACTAGGGGCACACAGGTAATTCTCCCTCCCAGGAGATTTACAGCCTCTGAAAATCCTATGGCAGGTCCGCAGTCTGTTTCAACTCCAAGCTATGGCTTTGGGTTTTTCCAAGTCTCTTGACTTGTGTGTGCAAAGTAGGACTAAGCAACTAGGGTTTACATGGCTGCGATCCTGAAGAAGC